CATCCCACGAGTGTGGTGCAGGTGCAGACTCAGCACGAGATCGATCTCAGCGTCTTAAATGAAGAAGCGAGACGTAAACAATAATGGGATCGCCACGAGAAGCTCATCGCAGATCTTTTGTCCCAGTTGATAGACAAAAATAGGCGAACAATAAATGAGAATATTCACCAGATGGCTAGGAGCGTTCAGGCTTCTACTAGGCGACTTAGGTCGTTGCATGAACGTCTGCCAGAACAAGTGCCGCCGAAGAAAGTGAAATCCGACAAACCAGCATTGAAAAATGCTGAGATTAGGGAACGGACTATGAATGATGCAGGGTCGCAAGGAGGGTCACAAGACCAGAACCGGAAAGACACTGGAGGAAATAAGAAGAGAAATCGGGAATCACCTGGAACGTATTCCGATTCGCTCAAAAGGTCCATGAAAGATAAGACCCCAAGTCCACCCGAGCGGCTCACGTCACCGCGCCAGGAGGAGGAGACAAAAAGGAATGAACCTAGCATGAAGGATCGTGCTAGAGGCGAGTGAACCAAGGGCGAGACCAATCAAGGAAGGTTCAACAAGGATGAAGCCAGTGAAGACCAGGGCTGGCAGAAGTGGAAGTGACGACGGGAGAAAGGTGACTCGGCTCCTAAGACGCTACGGGGAAACCCGAACACGAAGCAGACTCCGAAGAAGTTGGCGGCTAGGCCAAAAGCGCTGATCATTCGACACAAGGAGAAGGGGAACTACTTAGACCTCCTTAAGCGAGTGAAGAAAGACAGTGCTTGTGATAAGGCTAGTGATTGCGTCGAGAGAATCAGACGTACGACCACTGGTGACATGCTGATTATTCTGAGCAAGAAGAAGGCGGATGAAGCCTCCCAGCTACTATCAGCGATTTTCGCACTCCTAGGAAGTGAAGCCGAAGTGCTAAGCAAGGAGCCTATGGAAGATCTCGAGATCAAAGATCTCGATGAAGAGACATCGAAGGAGGACGTTCTCGTTGCTCTTCAGAAAGAAGTGGGTGAGAAGTACGAGATTGGTCTGGAGGCCATAAAATCACTGCGGAAAGCCTATGGAGGGACTCAAACTGCTTCAGTGACACTCACGGCAGCTGCTCTCACGAAAATTCTGGGGGAACAGGAGATCGGGAAGAAGATCAACATTGGCTGGGTCAACTGCCGGGTACGGAGACTGCAGAGATCGATCAAGTGCTTCAGGTGTTGGCAATACGGACACCTCGCTACAAAATGCACGAGCGTTGTGGATCGCTCGAAGCTCTGTACGAGGTGTGCAGGAGATGGCCACAAAGCCAAGGACTGCGAGAAAGAACCGCAATGCGCCCTTTGCATTGACAAAGGCTATAAGGAGAATAGTGCTCATGTTGCTGGTAGCAATAGATGCCCAGCCTATACCGCGGCACTCCAGAAGCGCACCAGCAAAAGGCGATAAGGGGAGGAAGATCTGCAAGGTGTTACAGCTCAACCTCAACCACTGTGGGGACGCCCATGACTTGCTTATGCAAACGGTGCGAGAACTGAAGATTGATCTGGCTATGATTTCGGAGCCGTACCGACACCTCGGCACCCAATCCTGGGTTACTGATGCCAATGGCGGGGCAGTAATCTGGGCTTGTGGGAACAGGCCTTTTCAAGACAGCGGAAGGAGGAAGGGCTACGTGAAGGCGAAGATCGATGGAATTCACGTCTACAGCTGTTATACCCCACCGAGTCTCAGCATCGATGAGTTCACAGACTTCCTGGACAGGCTGACTGTGGATGCCAAGCAACACTTTTCAGTGATGATAGCTGGTGACTTCAATGCCTGGGTAGTTGACTGGGGCAGCAAGGTGACAAACGCCAAGAGTCAAGCTGTTCTGGAAGCCATGTCCGCTTTGGACGTGATCTTGCTGAACAGAGGAGATGAACCAACCTTCATGGGGGGAGAGGCGAGCTCAATTATGGATCTTACCTTCGTGACTGGTGCTCTCGCTAAGAGAAACTACACATGGAGAGTAGCTGATATATATACGGCTAGTGACCACCGAGCCATACTTTGGGAGATATGTTCCAACCAGAAGGTCGCATCAACAGCCAAGAAGACCAACAGCGTTGGCTGGAGAGTGAGCACTTTCGATCCAGGCTCATTTGCGGTGGCATTAGATGACCATCCAATCGCTGGTACAGATACAGCTTCGAAGGCGCAGAGCATCAGGAGGAAGGTGAGTAAAGCCTGCGGCGCCACAATGACGAGAAAGCGGACCACGAATCGACATCCACCAGTGTACTGGTGGAATGAGACCATCGTTGTGCTACGGAAGGAGTGCAATGCAGCCAGGAGGTCATCTCAGCGTGGTAGGAAAAGTCCCAACTTCATGGAGTTGGAGATGAAGTACAAGAAGGCACGGCGAAAGCTCAGCAAAGCCATCAAGCATAGCAAGAGGCAATGCTGGAGCCAATGCTGGAGGCTCCACCTCGCTAAGGAGCTCGTCCTTAGCGAGGTGGAGACCGACCCATGGGGGAGGCCCTACAGGGTGGTGATGACACGACTCAAGAGTCAAACAATGCCATCGTGTCCGGTGCTCCTGAACAGAATTGTGGAGACGCTGTTCCCAAGTCAACCGGAATTTCGCCACAACTCTGAACAATGGGAAGGAGAAATTGTCCCGGAGATCATCAGGGAAGAGCTGATNAAGAGTCAATCAATGCCATCACCATCGTGTCCGGTGTTCCTGAACAGAATTGTGGAGACGCTGTTCCCAAGTCAACCGGAATTTCGCCGCAACTCAATGGGAACAATGGGAAGGAGAAATTGTCCCGGAGATCACCAGGGAAGAGCTGATGGAGGCCTGCAAAAGAGTGGGAAACTTCAAAGCTCCAGGGCTTTACGGAATCCCGAACATCGCGTTGAAGCTGGCCATTAACACGATGCCAGAGCAGTTCCTGGATGTTTACAACGAGTGCCTCAGAGAGGGCATCTTTCCTGCCATGTGGAAGCAGCAGAGGTTGGTGCTGCTCCCAAAAGGGAATAAACCACCGGACGAACCTTCATCTTACCGTCCCCTCTGCATGCTCGATACTGCTGGCAAGATTCTCGAGCGTATCATCCACCAGAGGATAGAAGCTGCCGTGGAACCCGCGCTTGCTGGGAATCAATATGGTTTTCGGAAAAGCCGGTCCACACTTGATGCCATCAACCTTGTCGTCGAAACCGCTAGGAAAGCGATTGAAGCGGAACGATGGTTGAATGGCACTAAGGAGTATTGCTTGGTGGTGACTCTGGACATCAAGAACGCCTTCAATTCAGCTAGGTGGGACTGCATCATGGAGGCTCTTGCTAAACTGGACGTGCCGGGCTACTTGCGGAGGATGGTCAGTAGCTATTTCAGCAAAAGGATCCTCATGTATGATACCGAGACTGGACCTGAGAAGTACAAAGTGACAGGAGGAGTACCCCAAGGTTCAGTCCTGGGTCCCCTCCTGTGGAACATCATGTACGACGGGCTGCTGAAGCTGAAACTGCCCTCGCGGACTAAGCTTGTGGCATTTGCAGACGACGTGGCTGTGGTCATCATCAGGAAGCACCTGGAAAACATGAAACGTGTTTTCAGCATAACGTTCGAGACGATCTGTTGCTGGATGGATTCTGTTGGACTGAGCCTAGCGGAACAGAAGACGGAAGCCGTATCGATCACCAGCAGGAAGAAGATCGAGATGATCACGCTGCAAGTCGGGTCTGGTGAAATCACCTCCCAGCCAGTCATCCGATACCTGGGGGTGATGATCGATGCACGACTGAATTTCAAGCAGCAAGCTGAGCACGTGGGGACCAAGGCATCTGGTGTGAGATCCACCTTATCACGCCTCATGCCAAACATCGGGGGACCCAAGCAGAGGAGACGAGCACTACTGTCCTCAGTGATTACTTCCGTGCTCACATATGCCATCCCCATCTGGGGAACTGTCCTACAACTACAGGAAGCACGANACCTGGGGGTGATGATCGATGCACGACTGAATTTCAAGCAGCAAGCTGAGCACGTGGGGACCAAGGCATCTGGTGTGAGATCCACCTTATCACGCCTCATGCCAAACATCGGGGGACCCAAGCAGAGGAGACGAGCACTACTGTCCTCAGAGATTACTTCCGTGCTCACATATGCAATCCCCATCTGAGGAACTGTCCTACAACTACAGGAAGCATGACGTAAGATCGCACCAGTCTATCGACTCAGTGCCCTTAGAGTCGCAAGTGCATATCGGACGGTTTCTGAGGACGCAGTGTGTGTCATCGCAGGAATGTTGCCGATCGAGATTTTGGCTGAGGAGCGGAAAGCTCTGTATGAGCGTAGAAGATCCGAAGTGCTGAGTCCCGAGGAGTTGACGTCTGAAGAAAGGCGAAACAGCCTAAGGCAATGGCAGCTGAAGTGGGACAACTCCACCAAGGGGAGATGGACTCATCGCCTTATCCCTAAAGTGGATGTCTGGCTAAACCGCGGACACGGGGANAGCTAAATCGCCGACACGGGGAGGTGAACTACTGCCTGACGCAGATGCTTTCTGGGCATGGATGCTTTAGAGCGTACTTTCATCAATTCAAGCATGAAGATTCCTCGAAATGTCCGACCTGCCCGGAAGTGGATGAAGATGCGAAGCATGTGTTCTTCGCATGCCCGCGTTTCAGCGAGACCAGACATATCTGGGTGTCTACACTGAAAATGAAAGTACTGCCTGAAAACCTAATGGATGTTCTATTAGCTTCGCAGGCAGCTTGGGATGCAACGAGTCACTTTGCAGCTGTAGTCATAAAAGAGCTCAGGAAAGAGGAACGCGAGCGCAAGGCTGCAACAAAGGCGGAAAACCTATTGGAACCTCCTATCTACACCCAACATCTTCGTAGACTAGGAGGACGTACATAAGGTTGAAATGAGGAAGAGCAAACAGCTGAAACCTCCCTCGCGAAGTAATACTTAACGGTGGTGCCGCGAGGGGAAGGAAAGGTCAAAGATTACTAGGGTCATGTTCGGTTTTTTGTCCGTATGGGTTGCACATTCGTCGAGCAGATACTTGCTCGTGGTCGCTACCATCTAGACCTGACCGACTCGGACACTACACTTCAGACACCACCCGTCTGAAGTGTGTTAGTGCGTAAAGAGCATTTTTCAGTTCATGAACCCAAAAAAAAAAAAAAAAAAAACACCGTTGAACGGTCGAAATAGAAAATAACACGTTACAATACATATATGTTTTTTAGGGTGTAATTTTTTTAACACTTGTTGAAATTTAACATGTAAAAATGTTATGTAAATCTGTAAAAAAAAATAGATATTGGATAGTATATATGTATATAGTCCATAATACATCCCGTTTTCTTGATATCTGGATGGAAATGTCAAAATTTGCGTTTTTTTTCTAATAAACAGAAAAATGTGAATTGATCGGGAAGTTATTGGTTCGACCTGAAACGGGTCACACCCACTTCAACGCACATGCAATGGGCGTAAGCGAAGGTAGCGACCAATAATCCAGTCGAATTTATTTATTCATTAATGATTATCAATGGCGCCGTGCTCAATTATTAGGTCATCCCTCTTGTGGTGTCACCTTTTTCTTTCCAGCTGGCATGGTATTGCGCCAACTGACGAAAAAAATACTAACATGATAGTATTGCTCATTTAGTATAGCAGTGTCGTATACTTGAAAATTGAAAAACTCCGTGAGTGTAGTGGAACAACAAATATTCGTGAAATTTTGTGCCCTATTAGATTACTCTGGAGAAGTTGCGCACGGGTTATTAGTGAAATATGTTAGCCGCAATGCATTAAATAAACGAACAATACAACGCTGGCTCAATACTTAGAAACGAGGTCGAACGTCCACTGAAGATGAGGTACGGGTCCTCGACCAGGTACGTCAGCACCAAGGTTACAACGTGCAGAACTTCACGAACGGAAGATACTGCTATTAGTAGCAATGGATATAAGAGGAATCGCTTTTTAGAAGACTTATGCAGAAAACACAACTATGACATCTGAACGTTACAAGGCGTTTTTGGGGGGCAATATTCTCAAATGGGCACACGACCATCACATAACAAGTCCTCTTATTTTACACGATAAGGGCAGAACACATAAAGCACGCATCGTTCGGCAGTTAATTGACAATGAACGCTGGATGGAACTTTTCCACCCACCATATTCTCCCGATATGAATCCGTGTGCTTCCAATTATTTTGGTCACGTGAAGAGGGAATTGTCGGGCACTGGTTACAACAGCAAAGAGCAAAATTAGATATTGAGTTGCATAGGATTATTTCCATTTTGAATGAAAAGGGGACTCTACATGGTGTTCGATAATCGCCAGCAGTCTGGGAGTGCGTCGTTCGTAATGGAGGAGATTACTTTCATAATAATGAAAGTATCATTGTATGTCGGTTATCACTTGTTAAGATATAGAAAATAAAAAGTCTGACACCAGAAGTGGGATCACCTAACATATGCCAGGCTCGTTCTCGGGATTACAATCCTAATATTAACTTGTAGTACCGTCGCTTATGCCAGGTTGAGTCACAATTTCAGAGAGAAATTCGAAAAAGCGCGCCCTGATAGCCTCGTGGTGCCCTCGTGGACGTCGTGATTTTCATAACGTTTTTTGTGCTCGAGTGAGTTACAACGTTGAGAGCAACTTTTCTCGCAAAACAAATTTTCAGACGTATTTTTCATCCAAATTATAAATAATCAAAAAAATAAAAGACGAGAGAAACACATAGAGGATTATTTAAAATTAGGAAAAAAATTAGGAAATTAGAGGAGAAATTGAAGCGCAAATGCGGTGTAACCTAAAACGGTATTTATTATTTACTATTTTTTATTTTTGTTGCCATTACTTTTATTCAAGGGCTATGTGTTCTCGACATGAGTGAGTCACATTAGCGCCTCGTATGACTGGTAATCTTTGCACGAAGGAGGCAGTAAAATCCAGTGCATCATAATTGGCTTAACGCCTCGAAAAGCTGCAGATTTTTGCACGTAGGAGGCAATAATATTCAGTGCATCATTAATTTTGGATATCCCTCTGGTTTTTAGACAACAGAAAAGACAATCTGCCCCCACAAAATATCAAACTCACTGATCACTCAGATGTTGAGGATCAACATATCTCTGAGAATGATCAACAAGACTGCTAAAAATCCTAACCACGAAGCTGTTCTCGGTGGACACCTCTTTGAATCCGGACTCTGGAACAATTCCCACTGAACAAACGGACCATGTCGAAGAGTTTGTTGATCTCTCAGTGACTGAATCCTCCCTAGATGAGGAAACTCGCAAACTGCTGGGTGATGAACCTGATGAGGACAAACCTAAGGACATTGCCCTTCACCCGGATCTAGTCTGCAGATGGAATAAAATGAGCAAAGAGGGATTATCAAAAGAGATAAAAGCTGAATTACCCAACAAATATTCTCTAAATATCAAGGGCACACACCCGATGTCCAGCGGTCGCGGCCGAACAGTGAAAAATATCACACCGGGACTCCTGTAATTTCCCTCCAATTACTGAAGCTGTGTACGTTTCACTTAAGCTTGGGCCTAACCGTGCGGTAAACCGAGTATATTGTGCACGGGGTTCTTACAGAAAATAATAATTCATCTTGCTAAACAAATCACGACAATTACGCACAACATCGTAGTCGGGTGTTCGAGCATATTATACCCTAGTGGTCAATGATTGGACTCATTATAATCACAAAGTTATTTACAATATTAGTGAAAGTGAAACGGAACTAATTCATCTAAAGGACAGTGTTAACTTGGGCTTCGACTTGGACTTCTATGAGATTAATCATAATTATTAACAATATTCGAATAGAAATCAAAAGGGGTGAGCAATAGAAAAATAGTTGAAAATTTATTGAACAAACAAA